CCATCCTCAATTACAGAAACATACATGTACACACTGGTGTTACCTTCAGAAGTTTACCAAACCAAATCTGATTGTGTATTTTTAAAAGCTTGATCAGTTCCTTCCAAATCTAGAACTTCAATGTAATTTTAATCAAAATCTCATCATTTTTTCATAGTGCTTGAAACTCTAGTCCCAGCACTCGCAGGGAACAGAAACAATGTATAGCTGGGGTGGGACTGAGCGGTAGCTGGTGGGCGGCGGCGCAGGAGGCAGGTCCAGCGGGGACCTGTGGGGACGCGGCGCGGTGCTCACGATTCGGTTGGCCTGTGTTTAGGAGGAAGCGTGAGCTAGACGGAAGTTTATTTCTCTCTCTCAGAAAATTAAGTCCAAAACTAGGTAGTGCAGAGAGGCTCTGGTGGTCCCGTGGTCGCCGGGGCCTGGTTCCGTCGTCTTCCTGCGCTGTCAGGAGGTGTCTTCTGACTTCAGGGTCCCCACGTTGCCTAGATATGGCCACGTCCTGAGCGTCCGGTCTGAGTCCCAGGTGCAGGCGGTCCCCAGCTGGCTCCGCCCATGGTCCGGGACACAGGCGCAGGGTGGAGCTCGCCGTGGGGCAGCTGGGTGGCGGGGCTGGCACACTCGGTCCCGGAAGAGGACTGAGGCTCCGTTGCCAGGAAGAAGGGAGGGAACGCGGGGCTGCAGCCTGTGCTGGGCGTGGTGCGGTGTTCGTGGAAGAGGACGGACCAGGTGGTCAGCGAACCCGTGTGACACGAAGCACAGCGCGCGGTCCAGGTGGGTTAGGGCCTGAGGATGGAGAGCAGGGCCTGGCAGCTTTCACGGCCTCTGCTGAAGCAGGGATCTTACATAACGCACAGAAATGCCAAATTATAAAGAAAAATGAATAAATTGGCCTAAATTAAAATTTAAAAACTTGCTAACCAATACCTCTATACATGTAATGGAAAAGAAAAGCCACATGCTGAGAAAGAGATTTCTGACTCACGTAACCAGCAGAGAGTTGGAACCTGGATTATAGGCTAGTTCCTACGGCTCCGTAACACAAAGACGTCGATTTGGGGTCTCCACTGGCGTGGTGGGAGTGTCCCGTGTGTTGCAGAAGCCGACACACACGCAGAAGCCAGCACTCCCGGACCTGAGCCCTCAAGAGCTGACCTCTATCGTACACTGACAGACCTCTCTCAAGGAAGACCGAAGACAAGCTGGTCGAACGGGGAGATTCTCACAAGGGACGACATGGGCGGCCAAAAAACGGCTGAAGGGCCAGGAAAGTCGTGGCCCACACTGCGTCGGCAGCCCGTCCCTGCCCTGGGACAGTGGAGACCAGCGCCGTGCGGGGCTGGGGCCTGGGTGCTGGGTGGGCTGAGCTGTGGCCCTCACAGAGGGCACAGCTGCATCCCGCAGGCTTTTGGGCCAGGGGGCCAAGGACCACGGTAGGCTTGGGTGGAGAGGGAGGCACGGTGCTGCGCTGGAGGTGACCCGGCGTCTGGCTGTCTGTCCGGCCAGCGGGCAGATGGGCAGCGAAGGCAGCCCAGAGGGTGTCTGCAGGGCAGTGGGGAGGGCGGGAGGCCCCCGTGGGCTGAGCCACCTCACGGGGGTCGTGTTGGTGCTGGAGCCGGAGGAGGCTCAGGAGTCTCGCCACTGATGAGTGCAGCCTCTGTGTCCTTGGGAATAAGCCAGACCCCAAGTGAGGAACAACTGCTTGGTTACTCAGAGCCGGCTGCAGCAAGGGGTCAGACCACCCTGTGGGGCAGAAACTCAGAGGCAGGTGGGGACAGGGGGCTTCAGGTGTGTCCTGAGGGAGGCGCGGGCTCCACAGAAGGGGCATCCGTGTGCTGGCTCTGAGTGGCACGTGTGGGTCTGTGGCTGGCCCTGAGTTGGAAGCAGGGAGGGCGGGGCAGGGCGACTCCTAGGGAGTCCTTGCCAAGGCCTGTGCCTGGGCCACGGGGCCGAGGTCTGGGTCAGAGGAGCTCTCTTGCCATCTGTCAGACCAGCTCCAGCCCTAGCCTGCATCGGGGCAGGTCAGATGGCAGCACTCCGAACCTGTTCTTAAAGAAGCAGCATAAGGGAAATGAGGGAGAAGAAGGCGAGCGCGGTGCCTGGACCCGGCACAGCAGGCCTGAGCCGCGCCTCAGGAGCACAGACGCCTGTGGGCTCGCTCCCCAGTGTGAGCCGAGCGCGCTGACGGGGCGCGCTGCTCGTGGACGCCCCCCACGGAGTCCCCAGCACGAGGGGCCTCAACGCATCCAGCACCTCTGGGAGACGCTGGGCCTGCGTCTTTGCGGAGCTTTGCTCGAGTGATGTTCTGCTGCGTGGACGAGGCTGCATCTGTGGCCCCCGTTTGTTGGCACTGGTCGAAGTCCACGGTGAAGACTCCATCCTGCTGAGGTCCGGAGGAGGCTGTCCTTCGTAAGGCCGCAAGCGCAGTGGCCGCTGCCGCGCCGCTTCCCCCAGGCCTCTGCAGAGCCGTGCACTCCCGGATTCTCTCACCAAGCGCGTGTTCAGGAGTGGCGGCTCCGCGCAGACCAGGCTTCTGCAGGGGCGCTGCTTTAGAGTTTGCCGGGGAGACGGAATTCAGTTCAAGGACAGTTTAAACCTGCACAGACTGCTAATCTGCGGAAGGAAGGGGACCTGTGTTTTCATAAGCATCGCGTCATTTCGTGCTTTCTCTGCGAGTGGTGGAAACCTGCGTCTTCCTTTCCTTTTTGGACGGAGGAAGGACTGTTGTAGGAACCGGAGGATTTGTCCATTCACCACGTATTTATCCATCTCTTCCCCCGCAGAGCTTCCACACTGGCTGCAGGGGGTGGGCAGAAAACACAAAGCAGCCCCTAAGTTATGTGGGAAGTCAGACAGGGAGCGGGAGGGGGGGCTCAGGTGGCGACGAGGCCTCACTGGGGACGTCAGGTCAGCGCAGAGGCCTGAAGAGGTGGGCCGGTGTCTGGCTGCAGAGCTGAGGGCAGAGGCCCTGGGGTGCGGCAAGGAGGCCGGGATGGCCCGAAGCTTGGTGGGGGTACGAGACGGGTGGCCCAGGAGAGGCCAGGTGGCAGGGCCAGGGGCCCCTGGAACACCTGGTCCTTTTTCTGGGCACTTGGGGTGTCTGGCACAAAGGGGTGGCCAAGGGCACCAGGAGGAGGGCCCGGAGCTGGGCCCAGAGCCCTGGGGAGGGTGCAAGACACAGGCAGAGTCTGTTCTGAAAGCTGATGCCGTGGGCCGGCCCGACCAGTGGGATGGGGGATGGGCAGAGACCTCAGGGGGCACCAGGGTGTCCCCCCAGGCCACCCTTTGCCCTGGTCCTGGGTTCCCAACATGGCCGTGGGCAAGCTCCCCGGCTCCCCTCCTCCCCAGACCCGCCCTCTGCACTGCCCTGCCCCCACACAGGCACCAGCCAGGCCCCTACTGAGCCCCAACCTCTGTTCTGCTCACCCCATCCCTCACCGCTGCCCTGCCCCCACCACCGCCACAACCCCAGTCCCCCTTCCTCCTCTGCCCCACCCCTCCTTCATCTCCTCTGTCCCATCTGCTGCCCCCACTTCTGCCCTGCCCTGTCCCCTGCCCCTCTGTCCTCTCTGCCAGCCCCTCCCCAGCTCCCCTGCTCCTACCCTTCCCCAACCCCCCCACACGGTGTCCCCCCGCCCAGTGCCTTCCTCCCTCAGCCTCACAGCCTCCCTCCTTAAGGCTGAGCTTGGGGTCACCCCAAGGACCACTCCTTAAAGTCGGCAGTCCCTATTTTTCTCCTTGGCAGAACCCCATGCTTTCTCTCAGATTGATTTACCTCGGTTTATGGCTGTTCATTCGTTTCCTTTTCATTGGTTTATCGTTTGGCTCCCGGGCTGGCTCCCCACCCCCACCATGTAGCCCCAGCAAAGTGAGACCCCCTGGGAGCTCGGGACGTGGTAGCCCCAGGGGGGTGGAGGTCTCTGGCCTGTGGACGGGAGAGGTCAGGTGCACGCGGGGTGTGTGGCGGGGTCACTGGTGTCCAGCGCCCTCGTCACCCTTCACCCCCAGCCGGCAGCGGGGCGGGAATTCACAGCCCCCAGGGGCAGGCTGGCTCCCAGGGACTCCTGCGTGCTGAGCCGAGTCCCGACTCGGAGGCTCCGCGGCGTGTTCGCAGGGCTCCTGCGGGTGCTGGCATTCTGTGTGAGTGCAGCGCCCGCCTCCCCGCCCACACGGGTCGTTGCAAGACCCTAGAGACCTATATAAGGAATCCCTCCTTACACACGACGTACCAACCCCTGCATAAACGTAATTTTTCCTGTACACGCACACCTATGCTAAAGCGTGATGTATAAATTAGGCGCCATGAGAGATTAACAACAGTAACTAACAGCAAAGTAGAGTGGTCGCGACAGTGCCGGCATCGCTCCTCTGGGTCCGGGCTGTCGCTGAGTGACATGAGGGTGCCTGGCACACAAGCCCTGTGATACGGTGACAGCTGGTCACTGAGATGGCTCCTAGGTGACTGTCCGGCGGACGGCACCTGCCGTGGGGCAGCCCTGACAAGGCAAAGACGCACATCCAGGCGGGACAGCGAGAGGTTTCGTCACTACTCAGAAAAACGGTGTAAGATGTTAAGCCTATGAAGTGTTTATTTCCGGAATTTTCCATGCAATATTTTCAGGCCGTCGTTGACTGTGGGTAACCGAAACCTCTGGAAGTGAAGCCACGCATGGGGCGGGGACCACTGTGATAAAACGGGGACACACTTTTCTTACAGGAAACAGTCACGGCTGGTTGATGCCTCTTAGAGCTCCTCTCCAATAACGTGCCGTCGCGGGAGAATGGCGGCAAAAAGTCATTTCACAGTTTAAAATAACTTTTAAGTAGATTCTTCTCTTTAAAATTCTAAATTGCTAAATCAGTTTGTTATTTTCCGTTGCAGTCTTTGCTTAGTTTGTTGACGTTCCTGCAGAATTCGCAGTGCACCGGCGTTAGCGTGCGGCTGTGCGGCTGCACCCTGCGGACGTGGCACCCGCTGAGCCCATGCTCTCTTCTCCCCGCAGCTGGAACGTGGTGGGCGTGCAGGGCTCGCTGCTCAGCGTCTTCGTGGAGCCCATCTACTTCTCCAGCATCATCCTGGGCAGCCTGTACCACGGCGACCACCTCTCCAGGGCCATGTACCAGCGCATCTCCAACATAGAGGACCTGCCGCCCCTCTACACCCTCAACAAGCCCCTGCTCAGCGGCAAGTATCTCCAGAGCGTGGCTCTTTACTCTCTTTCCGGTCCCCGACTTGCAGCGTTGAGTCTCACGCATGCACAAACGCCGCCTGCGCCGCTGCGGCGGTCAGACCCCAGGCGCCGTTTCTGGGCCTCTCGGGCCTTGTCCCCGGGGCCTTTTCAGCGGTTCCTCTGCAGGAGTGAGCTGTCCTGCCGATTGCAAACCTCGCTGTTCACGGAGACATCACGGCAGGGCTTGGCCCGTGCGCTGTCCTCCCAGTGCCGTGCCACCTCAGCCTGTCCCGGTGGCGGGGACCCATAGGCGCTGTGGGAATCGGGTCAGCATCGGCTTTCCTGACTCACCCGGGGCCGCGGCTCGGACAGTCCACTCTCCGTGGGGCCGCCCGGGCTGTCCTCACAGCCCTGAGCCGCCTGCTGCCTGGGCTGGCTCTCAGGAGGGGGTGATGGTTGTAACCGAGGTGCCGGTGACAGGCGGGTGACGGCTCCGTGGTGTCTGCACCCACCCCTGATGCTCTTCATTACTGGGTTCTTTTTTTCTTTTTTTAGAATTTCAGTGGCTAACAGTAAAGTGAACAGGAGCTTTTGAACTCAAGGGTCCTAACTTCTAAGCTCAGCCTTATTTAAAAGGACACAGTTAAGGTATTTTTATCCTTTTAAAAATATCATTTTACTTACTTTTTTTAAGCTTGAAACTAAAACCATAATCTCAACTAAAACCCGTTTCTTTGGTGTGCGTGTGTGTGCTGCCTTGTTCTCCAGTGCGTGGCTACTAGCGCGACTTTAATCCGAGAAAAGCGTGTGAGTGGCATGTGCAAGCATGTGTGTGAGGGCGTGGCAGGGAGCGGGGCGGGACCAGGTTTCGCAGCTGCCGCAGCGGGCCCTCGTTCGCTCCGAGAAGCGGACTGAGAAGCGTGGCCGTGGGTGAGTGGAAAGTGCAGGTCGACGCCTTCTGAGGTGTTTTGTCGTGTATCGGTGTGCGAGTTTCTCACGAGTCAGAAAACGGTTACGCCTTTGTGTTCTTCGTTCGAGGGGAGGGGACTTCGCTTTCGCTGCCACTGGTCTTCCTGCGCGTGGACGCCCAGGTTGCACGGGGACGTGGGCGCGGCGGAGACGCTGGTGGCAGTCGTCGGTGGGGGCCTTGTCGAGGCGCCTCCTGAGCAACGTCTCGCCCATAACTAAAATCTGGGAAGACGGGGTCATTTTTTGCTGAAGAAATTTTCTAAGGTGTTGAAAGTCGAGCTGATTTATAAAAGTCAAACGTATTTTATGGTGTCCTATTTACACGAAGTGCATATATATCTATAAAAAGACATTGAAAATAGCGTCTGTAAGATAGACTTCAAAGTTAGCGATGCGTTATACATACATATATTTTTAAATACGAAATATGTAACAAAATAGAGTCTCCTCTTCCTCTCCTCCCCAGCATCATTTCTAACCCCAAAGCCTAAGGCACGTCACCAAGTCTGTGCCCTTGGTCTGCCTGCGTGGGCCGCGCTGAGCTGATCCCGCCGGCGCGGAGAGCCGGGGTCGGAGCCACGAGGCTGCACCTGCCTCAGCTCTGGCTCACTGGCAACTTACGTGCCTCAGTTTCCTCATATGCCCAGTGGCGGGGATGGACCAGGTGCCCGTGTGGTCCTTCTGGGCTGGCGTTTACCGTCCTTCGAAAAGAAAGGGACACGCTCAGGCTTCGGGGAGCAGAGTGTTATCCAGCGCTGAGCCAAGACACAGTGTCACTCCAGCGCCAAAGGCGGTTTCAAAATGCAAACTATTTGAAATATTTTGTTTTGGAAAAATGCTTCATTTTGGAAACATGGTGTTTTGTTGTTGTTTTTCTTGAAGACAGTTCAAATCAGCAAAGCAGGTGGCTTCACAGAAGACGCCTTTACACGAGGGCCTTCCTGCGAGTCAGTGGCGGAGGAAGGCAGGAGGGAGGGAGGGCGCCTTGCTCCGGCGGGAGTCGAGGTCAAAGCAGACGGCGCAGCGGCCGTTACCGAAGACGGAGGGAACTGAACGAGAGAAATCCGAAGGCGAAACTGTTGATGTGTAGGTCACACTCTTTTAAAACAAAGCAAAGCCTTCAGAACTTTCTTAGAACTTCATCTTGCATTTAACAGGTGACCCGAACAGTGGAGTGGCCGAGACGTTCGGGTGTCCGCTCTGGTCCTCTTGCTGGTGTGCGCTGTGCGGGTCTGTGTATCCGCCATGGTTCACACGGTGCCTGCTGTGCGTGTCACCTCCGATTTCGTCATAGAGATCATTCTCGTGTTAGGGAGAGAGGGTGGCCGGAGCCACGCAAATCGTCGTGTCCTTAGGGAGAAATGAGATGGACGTGAACCAACACCGGCGCGACCGGCTCTAAAGCAGGTTACCTGGAACTGGAGCAAACCACGCAGAAACTGAGGGGTAGCTATTAATAAACCTCTAGTGTTGGGCTCTTTCTTTTTCTTTTTTCAATGATGTCAAGGTTAAAAGAATTTAATCTTCATTTCAGCCTAAAAACTGTATTTCTACCGTCCGTGAGAGCTTGGTGGCGAGCTGCGAGTCTGCGCCTTCGCTGTGGGTGCTCACGCCAGGCCCTTCCTGGCACTTGGGGGTGGAGCCTCTCGAGCTTTCTGGGATCCACATGAGTTTCCCGTCCACACCCTCAAGACGGCTCCACTTCTGGTCTCGCCTGTCGGCCCTGAGTGTGAGCCCCTCGCGGACCCAGTCGCTTTCCAGGGCTCGCCGTGAGAACTCAAGAAGACAGACAAGTGGGGCGTGGCCGTCCCGGTGGGGTGGCTCCAGGGGCGTTGGGGACAGACATGCTGCTATGGGGCCACTGGGTGAGCCTCCTGTGGTGCTGGGTGTGACACCAACTCCTGCCACGAAGCAGTGAACAGGTTGTGCTGGGGCCAGCGTCCTGACAGTCTGGCTTGAGGGTGGGGTCTCTGGGAGGACAGCAAAGGGGTCCGTGGGGATGAGCCGCAGGCGGGGGCTCAGGGCAGAAAGGGGGGCTCTGCCAGAGCAACGTGGCGTCCGTGATGGGGCGGGAAGAGCCGACCTCATGTTGAGAACAGCAAAGCGCGGTGGCTTGATTAGGTCGTGGCCTTGAGTGCGCGCATGCGTGTGTGTGGGAGTGTGAGAGTGTGTGTGTGACAGTGTGAGTGTGCGTGTGAGAGTGAGCATGTGTGAGCGTGTGCAAGTGTGAACATGTGCAAGTGTGAACATGTGTGAGCGTGTGCGAGTGTGAGCATGTGTGAGCATGTGTGAGCGGCCAGGTAAGAGCGCACGCGGGAGCTGGGGGGCAAGGGGCGGTGGGCATCCTCCTCCTTGCCCAGCGTCTGGGACAGGCTGTGCTGCGGACCACTCTGTACTGGAGCGGAAGGGCCCCCGCGTGGGGTGGTGGGCTGTGTTCTGCCTCAGTGTGCAAAGTTATTCTTCTTCTCATTCGATAAATTTTCCATCCATTATACTCCGTACTATTTTTTTCTTCCCTTGCTTTTACTGGATCGATTAAATAGTCTTTTTCCATTTTTCCCTGGTGGTTTGGGAGAACTAAATTTTATTTCCATTATACACCCACTGGCTACTCTTAGTTTTAAAAACAAATATATTTAAACCACTTAAACATTTTTTTTGCATCAAGAATTAGTTAGTATTCATGAAGATCCAAACCTGAGGAAAACGGAACTTTGGGCTCATCTTTGCTCCCTGCTCCTCCCACCTCGTCCTGCTGGAAGCTGGGACATGCGGTGCTTCCTCTCGGACGCCGCGCAGCCATCTGGGCGAAACGTAAGGGCCACTGGCTTCTCTAAGCGCTGCTCTCCGCATCCGATGCCCCGTTAATTCCACGTTCAGATTTATTTTTCATGTTGCTGGAATGCATCCCTAACATGGGGGACTGGGCAATTTGTTGTTGTTTTTGTTTTGTTCTTGGAAGAAATGGCTGCATGGTGGCACTCTGGGTCTGACTGGACCCTCGTCCGTGTGCGGGACGTTGGCCGCAGCCGCACGCAGCTGGGCCCGCCCCTCCCGACACGTCCGTGGCCCCCTCTGCTGCCGCCAGTCGTCACAGAGCCAGTGTGAGTTTCTTTGCTTCCTAGGTACCCCTTTTTGGTTTCTCTCTGGTAGCATTCAATGGATCTCTTTCCCTTAAAATTCAGAAACTTCAATATTAAGCCTTGCTGTGCGGCTAGTTTTTCATCTGTTCCTACTCACTACTCTGAACCCTTTGCTCTGGATGTTGAATCTTTGGTTCAGAGAAATTTTCTTTGGTTTTCTCTCTTGTTGCTGCATTTTCCCCATCCTCTGTTGTCTCTGAAAGTTCTGCTGAGCAGAGCTCACAGGCCAGGGTCCCTCCCCTTGCACGGGGTGCTTGCCGCCCGCACTGCCTTCGGAGAGGACGGCTGCTGGGCCTGGCCGTGCCCGCCATCCTGCTCGTCACTGTGGGACAGGCACAGGGCGCCCACGGCCCGGCCACCCTCCCTGCGTCTCTGCTGCCCCCACACTCTCTGCTCCTGCTGTAGGCCTCCGTCTGGGGGCGACTCCATAGGGCCTCCTGTCTCTGTTAGGGTTTCAGTCTCCTATGTCCGGGGAGAACACATTTCTAGTGCCTGGAACTATCTAGAAAAGAGTTTCCTGGAAGGAACCCAGCTCCCCCTGGCTGGCCGTTGTCACCGTGGACATGGTGACAGAGCATCTGTTTGAGGGGCTGACCCGACTGACCTTCAATGTCTTCTAAACTCAAGAAGGGGATGCGGTTTGCGGTCGTCTTGTTGTTTAAATTCTGTGCGTGGAGAATTACCTATTTTATGGATGACACCTTTGAAGAGTTTTCAAAATAACGATTGTTATAGTTTGCCGAATGGCGTCTTCAGAAGATTTCCTGGGGCTCATCAGGTCACAAGCCACGTCCTTCACGCCTGTCCTCGAGTCCACACTCGGCCCGGTGAGCGGGGCCCATCCTCACCCCTTCGCAGCTGACAGGCACAGCCCGCGTGCGGGTCGCGGCCTCGCTCCTCTG